TACAGCTCTCTGGCCTGTCTCTCTCGGGATGGAGGTGAAGACTGAGTGGGAGAATGTTCAGATGCTCAAGCATGGGGAGGAAGCCACGAGAGCTAGTCAGGGGACATCCTGCACATCCTGCACCAGGCAGGCAGGCGCTCCCGGGGCCTTCCTCACCCCCAGGCGGGCTGGAGCCCTGGGTTGGCCTCTGTGTCACTTCATCCTTCTCCACCCTAACTAGCCTGCCCCTCACCTAAGCCTCATGATTTCTTATTTGCCCCTCGGCCTGGCTGTTTCCACCATGTATGACGCTAGTCTGTGCTAGCCACACACGGGTCAGCCTGACTCAGCCCTGCTACACCAAGCCTCCTCTTCCGGGTCTCATGCCCTTTACCCACTGCTAGTCAGTCCCCTGCCTTCTTACGGTTCTATTTCTATCTGCTCACATTTCAGAAAATAAAATTAAATACTAGGGATGAGCATGTAGCTCAGGGGTACAAGGCCCTAGGAGAAACAAAACACAGAAACAAAGCTTAATTCTGTTAAAACAGCATCAGAAATAACAGGAACAAATTTTAACAGAAGGACAAAATAATCTGAAGGTGATAAAATGTTGAAAGAATGGAATAAATGGGAAGGTACCCCATGTCCATGGACTGGGACTAAGAAGCTTGTCCCAACTTTCTGGGAATCCAGAAAAGTCCAATTTCTAATTCTGAAGCCTAATAAAGAGTTAAAATGACCGGGCCCCTATAGGTACCAGGCATAAGGAGAGGCACCAGCAGCTCAGGGGACAGATTCACATGAGCACTCAGGAGGAAGAAGTTGACCTTTCCAGTGACAGGTGTTGAAGACAACTAGGTATGGAGATATTGGTGGTGATAACCAGACAGCTGCATTCGAAATACTGAGGTTGGATCATTTCCATATACAAAAATCAACTCTAGATTGTAATCAAGACCTATCATGGAAAAGTTAAAAACTTTTCAAAACCTTTTTATTTATTATATGTGATGGTGGACAGGAAGCTCCAAGTGTGCACAGGGATGACAACTATTTCCACCTTGTGGGTCCTGGGCATCAGGTCAGGTCCGAAGACTTGGCAGCAGGCACCTCCACCCACCGCACGGTCTCACTGTTGACTAGAAAACCCAGCAGGCCACACAACAGCTCGGGTCATACAGGACCTTGTGCAAAAGCACCTGACAATGGACATGACGTCAGAATTAAACAGTTTGGGTGCTTCAAATGGGTGTGAGGAAGATAGCCCAGGACGGGAGAGGATTCTTACAAATCACGCACATGAAACAGGACTAGGACCCAGAATACACATGGGGCCTGGATAACCCGAGGAAAAGATAAGTAATGGAGTTGAAAGAGGGGCTGTACAGACATTTCTTCAATAAAAGCCAGTAAGCAGATACAAGAATAACTAAAACAACAAAAAAATCAGTAGCCCTCCTATATACAGATAATAAATGGTCTGAGAAAGAAATTAGAGAAACCACCCTTTACAATAGCCACAAATAAAGTATCTTGGGGTGACTCTAACCAAACAAGTACAAGACCTGTATGACAAGAACTTCAAGTCTTTAATTTCTTTCTTTAGTCAGGAAATGGAAAGATCTCCTATGATCTTGAATAGGTAGGATCAACATAGTAAAAATGGCAATCCTACCAAAAGTAATCTACAGATTCGATGCAATCCCCATCAAAATTCCAGCACAATTTTTCATAGACCTTGAAAGAATACTCAACTTCATATGGAAAACAAAAAAACCAGGATAGCCAAAACAATCCTGTACAATAAAGGATCATCTGGGGGTATCATCATCCCTGACTTCAAACTCTTACTATAGAGCTATAGCAATGAACACAGTCTGGCTCCCTACAGAATGGGAAAAGATCTTCACCAACCCCACACCTGAGAGAAGGCTGATCTCCAAAATATACAAAGAACTCAAGAAACTAGACATCAAACTACCAAACAATCCAATTAAAAAATGGGGCACAGATCTAAGCAGAGAATTCTCAACAATCTCAAATGGTGGAAAGACACTTTAGGAAATGCAAATCAAAACCACCCTGAGATTCCATCTTGTACCGATCAGATTTGCTAAGATCAAAAACACCAATGACAGCTTATGCTGGTGAGGATGTGGAGTAAGGGGGAACACGCCTTCATTGCTAGTGGGAGTACAAATTTGTACAGCCCCTGTGGAAATCAGTATGGCAGTTTCTCAGAAAGTTAGGGATTACACAAAGTCCGGCAGCCTCTGTTGTAGAAGTTGGTTTAGAGTCACTCTTGCTCAAGTTGTCTTTTCCCAGATGTCCTATGTATGACCCTGATGTGTTCATATTCTATTGCTGTCTTATTGGCTGCCAGGACCCCTCCCCCTGCCCTGTGCACAGGCAGTGTGGCCTGGGGCCTTTACTCCCACCCTGTTCTGAGCTCTTAGGTTCACCAACACTGAGTCTGCCTGGATTTTCCAGATGGAGTGGGCATGGACCCAGCATACCAGACCCCCTCAGAAAGGACACAGTGAGTGAATGTTTGCTCCTTACAGTTTTTCTTTTAATTTTTATTTTTTAAAGATTTGTTTATTATGTATTCAGTGTTCTGCATACATGTATACCTGCTGGCTAGACGAAGGCACCAGGTCTCATTACAGATAGTTGTGAGCCACCATGTGGTTGCTGGGAATTGAACTCAGGACCGCAGTCAATGCTCTTAACCTCTGAGCCATCTCTCCAGCCCCTACATTTTTGACAGAGTGAAGACAACACATGTGGAGGTTAGAGTCAGTTCTCTCCTTACCATGTTGGTCCCAGGAATTGCAGTGACGTTACCAGGCTTGGCAGCAAGCACCTTTACCTGCTGAGCCATCTTGCCAGCGGCTCAAAGTTCACTGGGGTAGGCCATAGGGAATGCCCAGCAGTAGGGAAGGGTGAGTCAGGGTGAAAGTCTACCTGCTCTTGAGTTAGATGCCCTTCAGTGTTTCTCAGCCATGGGGGGGGGCCCTCTTACACAGCTGTAGAGACAGGAGCTGGGGGTTGGGAAGATGGCAGGCAACCCATCGGAACTGGCTGTTGGTCCCTGAAGTTTTCCTTCCCTTCTTATTCGTATGTCATAGTGGTCAGTCACTCTCCTAAAGTCACACAACACATGCCCTGTGTGGGGTCTGGCTGCTGACCTCTCAGACCCATCCATCTCAGTTCCTGGGGGGGGCAAGGTCTTGGACTAGTTGGCCACTGCTCTTGGGCAGCTGCCCATCCCCCCACAGTGGCCTTGGGTACAGCAGAGCCCCAGTCCTTGAGCTGCCCCCCCACCAGCTACGCCTTGGGGGCTCTCTGCAGAGCCTGTGGTTGTGGTAGCACACAGCTCGGTTTGTGTATTAGCACTGCAGTGAGAAAGGCAAATTCGTATCAGCTGGTGAGGTTCTGCATCGCTGAGATGAAGGTCTCTGTGGGGGTGGGTGATCAGGTCAGGCTGGGGACCCTGGACAGTTGGAAAGACTTAGCTTTTAGGCCTAAGGTAGGGTAGGACACACACACTATTCTTTCTTTTCAGGTCACTTTCTGCAGTTACCTAGAATAGGCCGCCACTGCTGGTCCCTTAGGTGTGCTCTGGGCACATGTGGCAGCTGGTGCTTGCTGCAGTTCTTTAAGTCAGGCCACTGTGATCCCCTCATACAGGAGGACAGGGTCTCAAGCCGGCTCCCCACCCTCTGAATCTTTAGATGTTATCAGTCACAGGTGGCCAGGGCTAGACTTTTTCTATCCTCCTCATCTGTCCCTTCGCTTTACAGAAGGGGACACATGTCCTAGGAGACTGATCAAATTGTCCAAGGTTACTCTGTCCATAGCCTGGCCAAGACCTTCCTACCCTGGTGGCAACCCAGGCCAGCCCCTCCACTCCAAGTTCTTCTGGGGACAAAAGAAATGAGAGGGCTCCTCTCCTGTTGGCCACACCCAGATGGGAAAGGCAGGAGCCTCACCCGGGTGTGAGGGAGGGGCTGGCAGCGGCGCCTGGGACACAGTACACTCTCCTATCTTGCTCTCTCTTGCATCTCTTCTGGTCGGTGTGGAGGTAAGGACTGGATGGGAGAAGTGTGTCTGCGATGACCTTCTGTGCTCTTCCGTCCGTTCCAGCCTTGGAGCAGGAGGAAATGCAGCCACTGCCCAACTAGGCATGGCGGCCCACACCTATGATCCCAGTCCTTGGGAAGCAGAGGCCAGAGGATCGCCAGGAGTTCGAGACCAACCTAGACTACACGATGAGATCCTATCGAACAAGGGCAGATCCTGTGAGCGCAAGGCCCTCCTAGAAGAAATGAACTGACTAGAAACATCCCAGATACAACCAGCAGTGTCTAAACGAGCCATTCCCCCCGTGTAGAGTGCACTTGGCTGCTAAGGCCTGAATGCAAAGATGCATGCTGTAAAGATCAGGTCAGGTGAAAAAACAGCACTGCAGGAAAGTGGTGATGCGCTCCCCAAGGCCATGGGGACACCCCAAATACAAAGCCTAAGCCCCTTCAGGAGAGACAGGAGGGGTACATGGGACACACCTGGCTGAAGAGAACACAGGATTACGAACAAAATCACATAGCCATGTCCCATCTGCTTTGCAGCCCGGGAGCAATGGCCACATCTGTGACACTTTTAAAAGTCCAGTCACAGGGCCTGGCCTCAGCTTTTCTGAACCATGAACTTCCTGCAAACAGCTGGGCGGGACAAACTCACTTTCTCCAGAGGTAAGCCACGGTGAGCAAGCATCAGACCTCATCAAAACAAAACCCGGGCAAGGTCATGGTTGATATAAAAACTACATCCCAAGAGAAGACCGTCGCAATCGAAGAGATGGCAGCCCAGTGCTGTGGTAAGATGGACTGCAGGGGAGACAGGTGACAGCAACTGTGTCTGGAAGGCAAGAGCACAAAGCAGCTGCACAGAAGGAGAGAATGGGCCACAAAGTGCAGGGGTGGGGGAGGGGGAGAGAGAGGAGAGGACAGAGGGGAAGGGCGGAATGAAAGCTAGGAGCCGGGCTTAGCAGTTCTGGGAAAGAGGTACAAACTGGTCAACCCATGCAGTTTGGTAAAGTAACTGGATAGGGAACACCTAAGTTTGAAAACAAGGATACAGGGGTGGGTGCAGGGCGGCATGAAGTTCCGTTTTCTTTAACCCTCTCAAGTAGAGATATAAGAGATGGAGCATTTGGGAAGCACGAAATCATGAACATGGATTATCCGAGGCCACCTAACTTCCGATGATGGAACGTAAAGCTAACACATTGGCGAGCTGATTTTATGTCTTGAAAACACAGTGAAACAAAACCAGGGGCTGAGTTGAGGCCACAGTGACGGTGCTGCTGTCTGTGGACGGGCACGAGGGGCTGGTTACAGCACAGCACCATCGTCTTTACTAGCTGGGACCAGAAGGTGCCACGTGCAGCTGCTGAGGTTGCAAATGTAAAGTCAACTCCAAAGAGCAACTGCTGAACACACCGATTCCACCATTTTCTCCAGGGAAAATGACACAACTGGGCTCCGTCTGAAGTGCCTGCCCTGCCAACACGAGCACTGAAGTCCAGACCCTTGGCTGTATGGGTACGGAGTGCCTGGGCATCCAGCTTTGCGACCCGGTGAGCACTGCGTTTAGAGGGAGATGGTGGAGAGCAATGGATGAAGGCATCCCCCACCCCCACCCCGTAAGTAGTAAAGGGGGAGGTCTTGTGTTTGATCACAAAGCTTAACCCAATCACAGCATTAGAGTCACATGGAAACAAAGTTACTCAGAGAACTGGCAAAGGTGTCAAGAAAACGTGAGTTCAAAAGCAGGGGTTAATTATCTTACGATCTCATCCAGGTCCCAATGTGTTACATTTTTTCTTTCTTTAGGATTACTATGAAGGTTTACAGTACTAACCCTTGCACGTTAAACAGCACTGCGGTATCTGTATGGAGTCTACAAGAAGAAACAGCCTGGAGCTAGCTCATTAGCGGAGGGCACCTAGCTCCACCTCCAAGACTGAGAGGAGAATGAGTGTGTGTGCCAACCGCTGGACCAGAGACAGGCTTGCCTTCTTCTAAGTTCTCATTGACAAAACCAAAGGTTACTTTGTATCATCAAGGGCTGCAAACAAGATCTGGTAATTTGTGGGTGGTATGGCCCTAGACACACAAAAAAACTTTTCAATAAATTTTCAGAGGCATCTCTGCACACCTACACCCCTCATGCTTAGATGGACAGTTAGGGCTCAGAAAAGTCAGAACCAAAACCGTAAAACAACTAGAAAGTAAAATTCAAAATACCAGTGTAGACTTTGTAGCCTTTTTCTTAAAAAAGAAAAAATTTAAATCATTGCAGAGCAGCAAGATGGCTCAGTAGGTAAAGGTACTTGCTGCCACATCTGAGACCCGATTCAGTCCTTGGAACCCGCATGGTGAAAGGAGAGAACTGACCCTGCAAGTTGTCCTCTGACTCCACCCACCAGCTGTGGCGTCCACTTTCTCATACACACACAGATAAGTGTAATTTAAAAAACAAAGTAGAAATAAAAAATTTCTAAGCCTCTAACTCAAAAATAACTTCAAAAAGCAGCAAGATTTTAATAAAGATAAAAACATAAATCAATGACTTAGAATCCCTTAAAAGGGTAATATTCCTAATAAATACTATAGATTGATCTTTAGGGAATGGAAATAGATCGTATCATTAGCTAATGTAATCAAGGACAGGGGAAGAGGCCAGGAGATGGCTCAGCAAAGTGCCTGTGATCCTTAGAACCCACAAAAGACGCAGTGACACGTGACTGTAACCCCAGCACTGGAGAAGCAAAACAGCCCAACGCCTGGAGCTCACTGGCAGCCAAATCAGCAAGTTCCGGCCAGGAGAGAGACGTCCCAGACAAGGGTGGGAACCTCAGGTCCTCTGGCCCCTGAGTTGCGCATGAAGCTGCACACGCACACACAAACACAAAGAAAACATCCGGCGTCAGGGTGATCATATTACACTACTACGTTCATCCCTATGTAACCTCATCAAAAAATGTATCAGACCCATTCACGGAGCAGGAGAATAATTAAGACAATTACCAGAGAAGAAACAGCATTAAAAGGCTCCCAGCCCCACCCAGCACACACTGGCTTAGTTTTGCCCTGGAACTGAGCAAGCTTTACAACAGACAATTCCACTTCGCTCACCAAGTGTCCAGGGAGGGAGGGAAGCTGCAGATGGCGACAGTCAACACCTAATTGTTCTGATGCAGGGCAGGGGAGTAGGGTTAGGGCGACAAGACCCTGCATTAACGATAAAAAAAAACCTCTAAGGTAAGAATCTTAAATAACAGATTCAAGCCTGAAAGCGTTATAAAAGAACGATTCCCCCATGACCACGTGGGGTTCAACCAGAATGCAAGGGTACATGAAGGTATCCAGTGACATCACCAATCCTAGGCTCATAACCTGCAAAGCCATCTGGAAATGTTCCAGCCCCCATTTTTGATTGTAAAACTTTAATAAAATGGAGACTGACTTAACTTGATCAAATACTCATTTCACAGCTAGTGTTTCCTTGGCAGGGCCATCTGCACACTAGAGTATGTGGGATGGCGGCTACCACTGTCGTCGTCAGGGTTCCAGGGATGACAGTCAGAACGTCAACCCTAGTCAGCAAAACCAAGGTAAACTAGGAGCCAGACATGGTCACCCACACCTTTAGTCCCCAGCACTGGGGAGGCAGAAGCAGGCGGATGTTGGTGAATTTGAGGCCAGCCTGGGCTACAGAGGGAGACCCTGTCTGAAAAACACCATATACAACAACAACTCAGCTGGTAGTGCGTGCCTGTAATCCCAACTCCCTACAGGTGGAAGCAATATGGTGATGAGTGCATTCTCACTTACGTGGCAAGTTTGCAGCCAGCCAGACCACACGAGGCTGGTCTCAGACAAGGTAGTGAGTAGATTATCATTTTCACTATTATAAAACCGGAGAGACTAAACTGGAAAGCTCTTGTAACAACAGAATGCAAGAGGGTGGCAGGAGTCGGCTGCAGTCACATGACCAGCTTCTGCTATGGGGGGCAGGGATGGGACGGGACGCAGCACATCGAAAATGCTCTCCTCTCCAGAAGCAGACTGGCCCCCAAATGTGTGGGAGCTAAATGCAGTGACTTAGAACATTCCCGGGGGACACAGGAGGAAGTCTGAACATACAGGCATGCCTCGCTCTGGGAGGGAAAGAGCATTACAAAACACCATTTCTCCGGGGATCCATCTGTCAAGGTATGCACTCCCCCTATGAACAACACCCCTAAGTAAGTGGCTGCTCAGGTCAGAAGGCAAATAAACAAGGTTACCATGGGAATCTGGAGTGGGTTACCAAGGAGCACGAAGCGCCAAGTGAACGTCAGCATATGTTATCCATGCTGCAATGTGGCCGACCTTGGAGAACCTGCCACACTGGGCCAGCCGCATGGCTCAGTGGGTAAAGGTGCTGGCCACCAAGCCAGAAGGCCCCGAGTTTGATTTTTGGGATGCATATGATGGAATGAGATAAGCTGTCCTCTGACCTCCCCGTGTGCTTGATTGACACTGTGTACGTGCTCACTCGTAAAAGAAAGAAATGCAATGACAGAGAAACAACCACAAAAGAACACACATGAGTGAGTCGCTTATGAAAGCCGAGAGTTGGACTTCTCTGTGGAGAAGGGGTGGAGGGAGGCGGCAGCTGCCGTTGGGTATGATGCTAATCAGACTGTGAGTGCTGGCTGAACGGGGTCATAGCTCAGTAAACTCACCAAAGTTTCCAACCCTCAGCAGTGACAACAGCAGCTGTGGTAGTGTGACCTAGGCATGAGGAGGCCAAAGTCATCTTTGACTTCACGGTGAGTTCAAGGCTAGCCTAGGCTACTTAAGGCCTTGCCTCAAAAAAAAAAAAAAAAGTGAACTGGGGGTGGCGGGCGGGGTGGGGAGGATGAATATGGATGAGAGCATGGTGACCCTTGATAGCTAGCTCAGTGGTAAAAGAGCTTGCTTAGCGCTTCAGTGAGGACCTGGTTCAAGCCCCAGAGTCGCCAAACAGAAAGGAAAGAGACCAGTACCGGGCTGACTACTGATGATGACACTTAGATCTCAACCTCATACTTCAAAGCCAGTAAGTTATGAAACAATTTGTTTTGTTTTGACACAAGGTATCTCTACATAGCCCTGCTGTCCTAGAACTCACCATGGTGACCAAGCTGGCCTGGAACTCACAGAGATACACTTGCCTCTGCCTCCCCAGTTGCTGGGATTAAAGGCTTGTGCCACCAATCGCCTGACCTGCAAACACTTTTTAACACTATAAAAACAGAGAGGCCTTTTGAAGCATGTAAGTCATATACTTCTAAACAAGAGATCAGAATCTACACGAAGGACAAACCAGGGAGACATGCAGTTCACATGTCACGTACCACAGCTCCCACAGATCAATAAAGACGGACAAACCCACCACCCCATCAAAAAAAAAGGACCAACAGACACACAGAATGCTCAAAGTTAGAACAAATGGTATGACACAAAAACACTGAACTTCTGTCATCGCAAATGAAAACCACACATAAACCTGTGCCCACCACTGCCCAGGTGTCAGGGTCTGTTCTGGAGGGCGTGAGGATGTGGGGAAGTGGGACCTTTATATGCCCCAGGGTGCAACAGCTAAAGCTATCAGACCACACCCACCAGCATGATGACGTGTCCAACCTGCCCTGAGCCTGTATTCCAGAGTCCCCCGTGTCGTCCGTCCGTCCGTCCCCCCCGCTGTATCACACCTGGTGACAACACGGGGCTTACTGCTACACTGCTCATCAAATCAACAGGTTGTGGACAGTTTAAATAGAGGGTTGACCGAATAAATTATGGCTCATCCTTGCCAGAGAAGGGGACACGGGAAGAGGCAGCTCTTTGGCAGGTGACCTGGTAAGTATGGATGGCCAAGCGAGGCAGCGAGGCGCTGGACCGTATCAGATGTGTGAGCATTTGCCAGAGCTCATAAAACATCTGAGGGCACACAGGAAATGGACAACAGCTGCCTCTGAGGGGGTGGGGCTTGGGTCTCCTTCCTTCCTTAGGAATGTTGGACAAGAATGCTACTTTCAAGATAAATAAATAGTTGAAGCAGCAGCAGCAACAGTGTAAACAGCCGCTTTGAGGCCACAGGGCAGAATATCCTGTGCCTCGCTGGAGATCCATGTCCCATCCCTGCTTTATGTCCTGAAGTATGTAGTCTGACTTGGACGCATGTGGCGGGTGGGTTCCCTGGGGGATGAGCAGAGGCCTCCCAAGGTATCTCAATGTAGAGGTCCTGCATGAACACCCCAGACGGGGGTCAGATTGGGCCATGGCCCACCCTACAGAAGCCTGAGGAGGGGAAAGCAGGGTATGCAGAGGAGGGAACAGGGAACAGGAGGCAGTGGACGGGTCTCACTCACACTTGCGCAGCTCCAGGCTCTTGCTTGGACAGACCAGGTGTTGGCCGGGCGGGTTCTGAGTCCTCTGCAGACAGGCCAGCATGGCTGAGCTGGGAGCCCCAGGTGGGGCACGTTCTGCAGCAGGGTCCCTGTGCAGAGGGAGACAAAGGGTCACTGAGAGCTGTTCCAAGCCACCTCCTGCTCTCCCCAGCACCCCAAGGAACATCACAGATGGGTTGTTTTTGAGACCTCTCTCTCTCTTTGTATTCCAGGCTAGCCTACAGCATATAGTCCCCCAGAGGCATTGCCACCATGTCTGCTTTTGGGCAGATGTTCAGAACAGACATTGCATCTCCTTCAGAGGAGGAAAGTGAGGCATCCATACGTGCCCCAAAGGCATCGCGGGGTGGGATCAGAGGTGTCCTTCTACCACAGCATGGCCAGAACTCATGAATCCTGTGTACCTTTGGCTAGCTCAAGTGTGTGCGTCACCCCCAAATGTTTCAGATTGTCACCCCTCCAACAAGCTGTCCTTTGGTTGGTGTGGACCCCAGCTCACAGGGAATGGGCCCATTTGGTCAGGAATATTCAGGCAGGGCCAGTAGGTACAGTGTCCCTGTTTGCACAAATAAGTCACTCGGGTAGCACCTGTTTGGAGTGTTGTCATATCACCCCTGGAGACAAAGTGTCAGGATGGTGTCCTGGGGAGGAGGCCTGGGCAGGGCCAGAGCCACCCACAGCAGTCCTTAGATGGCAGCTGAGATGGGCCTCCCCACAGCCCATGCTGTTATTCACCTACCTAAGCCAGACAGACACCAGGGGTAAGGGGACACAGGAAGCACACACACATGCCCCCACAAAGCCCACCTTCCTGAGGGTGTGGTACCCTGACAAGCCAGCCTTAGAGGCCACCGTAGAAGATGGGGGTGTCCCGGGGGTTGATCCTTTCTCTGTGCCACAGAGAAGGGCTCAGCCTGGGTACCCTAAGGTCCTTGCGTCCTCCCCATCACCAGCCATTCCCACCCCTGGCAGCCAACCTGGGTTGCCTCCATCCTGAGCTGGCTGAAAAGGAGGAGGGGGGTGTTTAAGGGGAGAGAGGGAAGGTATTTAATACTAAACAGGTGTCTGAAGCCCGGAATTCTGCTGCTTCTAATAATGAAGTATTCATGAGGAAAAACCTTTTTTCACCACTTTCTTAGGATACTAATTTCACAACAAGCTCCTTGTTACGGTGCAATTATTCCAATCTTGTATTCCCCGAGACGGTGGCAGCCTCCCGTCTGTCCTGGCCTCTCGGTAAATGAAAGACAATCATCACGTAACCACCTTTCATTATGCTTCTATTTTACTTTCAGCAGAGGTACCCGCGAGTAAAGATTTCCTCTGAAAGGGACTTTTATTCAGTTTCAAAACCAATTTTCTCCTATTACTGTCTATAAAAAAAAAAGAGAAAGAAAAAAGAAGAAAGAAAGAAAAAGGAAGTGGGGGATGGATAGGTGTGGGGGAGGGGGAAGAGCCTCCCCCTCCCCCAGTTGCCAGTCTTAACACAGTGAGCGAGGCAATAAAAGCAGCAATATCCACTTCTCAGCTTTGATTTCTGGTAATTTTAAAATATGCCATTACAATCAGGCAGAAATGACACAGCTTGCGGAGGGAGTGAAGTGGAGCTCGTTGCAGGGATGGAAGTCCTTGACTGCAGAAAGCGGGGCCTGGGATGGGAGCAGGTGGCAGAAACTGGCCTGCTGGGGCCACCGCCGCCACACGCCACCATCCCGCCTTGAGGTCACAGTGCACAGCATTCGGACTGAGTGTGCCGGGCTTCCACACACACTGCAGATATGCAGTGTATACCTTGTGTCACACTCCGTCACGGGGGTGGGCCCCTGAAATGGACATGTTGACAGCCCACGGGGAGGCTCGGCTGGTACACCCACAGGTGTGAGTGGCCTGTGGCACTTACCTTGACCCCGCCCACTTCTCCCAACCCCCCCCCCCATCTGTTTCCTGCCACCCTGATGCACAAAACCTGCCCACGCCCTTCTCTTCACAAGTGGTACTGGTCTGGAGGGGAAGAACCTGGGGCCCCCAGGCAGCCTTGACTAGGAACAGGGAGGTTAAAGCCTAGAGTCCCCTCCCCCCAGTTCCTGCCCTGGCTGGAACTGATCTCTGGCTTGTAAGAGCCACTCCATGAGTCTTCTAGCAGACCCCCCCCACATATTACTCTAGAATCCTGACCCATTCTCTGACCAGGTGCAGGAGGCCAGAGTTCCAGCCTCACTCCAGGATGAGGGCACCCTGGTGGGCCACCCACCCTAGCACACTTGGAGCTAAAAAGGGCATGACGGGCTGCAGCTGTTGAATGAGGGCAGCCTGCCTGCTGCAGTAACCCAGCTGCCTCCCAGGGCCTCTAGTCTCCAGAGCTAGGATGTCCAAGCAGTCTCGGGGCCACGGGGGCCACTAGGCTGGGAGGGAATGGACCATGTCCATTTCTGGCTCCTCTCAGCTTCTCAGGGCAGTTCTCACCTCTGGAGGAACCAGGCTGACTGGCCCATACATAGCCTGGGACACCAGCTTCATTTGGAGGTGGACAGGGGGCCTCTCTGTTTCCTCAAGTCTCCCAGATCACTGTCCATTCTCTCCAAACCCTGTGCCCTGCTGTGGGAAATGGAGGGTTGTGGGGGGATGATCTCAGATAAGCCAGGGGCCAGCCAAGCATCATGGGGAGTGAGATGCCCACCTCAAGTTCCCATAACACCCCAACACTTTGGCCTTTAAACTCCTAACATAACCAACCTTCTCTGACTGGTCCAGCTCTCTCCCAGCCGCCAATCTCTCAATGCTCCCACAAGGCCCTCCTTTGGCTAACAGCCTCATACCTCCCGACCATGGCACCTGCTGTACCCTGGGCCTATGGCACTGCCCCCCAGCCATGTTAATTCAGGGCCATTTCAGATGGCTTGGCTGGCCATCTGGGTGCCCCTCACCACAGCCCTAATCATATCGAGTTGTAACTGCCAACTTCATGTCTGTCCATCTCTGCTGAACTGTGAGTTTCTATGGGGCGAGGGATATGTCTTATTAGTTTCCATCTCCCCAGTGTCTGGCCAGGAATAATCATTTAATAAGTAGATGTTTGGAGACAGCTATGCAGTTAACAGTGTTTGTTGCTCTTAAAGAGGACCTGAGTTTGGTTTCTAGGTCCCATGTCATTCCAGCTCCAAGAGGTACACACATGGCACACCCTCACACAGAAGACACAGCACATGTGTATACACGGTATACCCTCATGCAGACATACAAATAAAAATAACGTAAAAATAAGGCACCCAAATAATGGCTGCACCAAACGAACTGGCCATTGTGAGATGAAAAGCCCAGAGACATCAAGGATCCTGCACAAGGTCACACAGTGAGCCAGGAATAGGGCTGAAGTGGGCACTTAAAAACCCATGCCATCAGGTGGTGGTGGTGCACACCTTTAATCCCAGCACTCGGGAGCAGATGCAGGAGTAGCTCAGTGAGTTTGAGGCCAGCCTGGTCTACAGAGTGATTTCCAGTATAGCCAGAACTACACAGAGAAGCCCTGTCTGAAAAAAAAAAAAAAAAACAAACAACCACGCCTTTCCTGTGACTTCTGGCCTGCCTTCTCCTTCTCCTTCCCCAGCCCCACCCCATCTGCAGATGGTGGGTCCCTCAACCCTCTAGCACAAAACCATCACCATCTAGCCCAGCGGGGACCATCTGGAGAGCCACACTGTCTGCAAATCAGACTGTTTATAAGCTCAAGGCCTTTTGTGACTTTGATAATAAAAGGGGGTGGGGGATGGGAGGGAAAATGTCGCAAGCCTCAATGATTAGAATGCTCTGGCACTGTCCCTGACGTGGGGGCTGATAAGACGTCTTATCTGGGAGACACCCAAGGAAAAGGTCCCGTCCACCAGATAACACCCCCAGCTGTCAATGTGCCCTTTCATAGCTGGACTGTAGATAAGAGCTGTGACAGGGGAGGGAAGGAGGACAGAAACTTTCTGAGCTGAGGAGAATTAAGTCTGATGCCCGAGTGGCAAACAATGAGCGAACGCTGTCTACGGGCCGTCTTTATTTTATTCAGAGTCGTCTTGGGGGTGGGAGGTTAGCCTTGCTACCTTTTTGTCATCAGCTCCTCTGGGTCTGGCTGCAGGGGGTGCCAGGGAGTCCCAAGGGGTGGGAGGGAGAATGGGAAACTAGCAGGGTGCTGGGTACTGAGGACAGCACTTAGATGCAGCACTCTGCTTGGAGATCTGAGTACATCCTGTCCTTCAACCCAACCGGCAGGGCGGCCCTGGCTAGAGGCTGGTTTTAGCCTCCTTTCACATGGCAAGAAATGATCACCGTGTGTGTGTGGGAGGCGCAATGTGTACAAGATCAGACGGATTTTTAATAGGCAGAGTCCAAGGGTATCAGATCCTAACCCTCAGATCACTGTACGGCAAGTCCATCGTAGTCGGGGGAATCCCAGAAGCCCCTGCCTACAGTCAAGGGACCACGGAGGGACAGCTGCAAAGCCCTGGTTCCCCTCAGAGCCCACAATCCACTTGGATTCTACCCTGAGAGGGGCTGGGAAGAGAGGAGAGGCAGAGAAAGAAGACAGAGGCTCCCTGGAGGCCACCCACACATTCTATAACCACTCAACAGAACATAGCATGCGTGCCATGCAGAAGGTGGAACCCTGCCCCCCCATTCACCTGGGCAGTAACACTTGAGAACACCTTTTGGGGGGCCACCCCTATGCGACATATGTAAGCATGACCTGTCATAAGGCTCCAGGATATCACCCACTCAGAATTGCCCTCCCTGGTGAAATCCAGGGTAAGCTGAAAATAGACTGTGCCAGCCTCTTCTCCCTCATAGGGAAAACATGCCCACCTGCCTCAAGGGGTAAGGCAATCTAGTCTGTCCCTGGAGTACGGCTGAATGCACAGAAACACTTGGCCTCTGGGGAGGGTTATGACTCCATGAAGGCCACAGCCTGTGCCCCTTCCAGCATCCATCTCTGCCCTTATCTAGAACTGCCTAAGCAGATGTCTGCAGCTCTTCTCAAGGCCAAATACAAGTTGCAGCCTGGAGAGGAAGGTCACACCAGGCCTACCAGCATGAGGAGTTCAGAGAG